CAAACCAGGCTGGGATTCTATGACTTTGTGATAAGTAGAAGCAAAGTCCTGTGAGCTGTAAAGCTGGGAGCTTTAACTGAAGTCTTTTACCTCCTTTCAAACCAGTGGCTTAGCCTTTGAAATGAGTACAGCCACAGGTTTGTGTAAACCCTCTTAAAACTCAGAGTATAGGCTAAGTTTCAGAAGTAGCAACTGAGAGTTGTCAAAAGGTGTGAGTGAAGCCTGGGAACTTCCCCGAGTGTGTATGCAGTGAAATGGATAGGTGAGGAGGAAAGTGCAAAGTACTTGTAGACTCATTGGGTGGAGAAGAGGAAGGGCAGAGTAGAGTCACTGCTCCTGCCAGTGCTGTGGATGCTTCAGAGGTGCTGGGTATGTATCTGGGCTTGGAATAACCTTGTTTGTCAGGTGACAGTTCTGTGCAAACAAACGCAAATGGGGTTTATCCCTTGGTGTGGCTGGGCATGTTTGGGTGCCCTGAGCTGTGGCATCTGCATGGCAAGTAGTTTACTTGCAAGTTTGGGTTATCTTGAGTTAGCTCCTGTTGCTTGATGTTATCAGCACACAGTATCCTGGCCAGGGGACCCCTAAGGAGCAGCAGCTATTCCTGAGCCCTGTCCCCCGATCCGAAGGAATCGTGTAGTTTAGTGGAGATGACAACTGGGAGTTCAAAGGAAGTTGAGCATTTTGCCTGGTTTAATTGCCTACAATTTGCATACCTCTAGTAACTTCCTGGCTTTTTAATTGGTGTTTTCTGCATTGGAGGGCATGTGCCCATCCTCAGCCTTTCAGCAGCATTCCTTACAGTGTCCAGCTGTGCCCCTGTGCGACTGCACACTTACACAACTGGTTGCTTTTCAGCACTACTTGGTTTTCCTTGAGCCTCTACTCAGAGTTTCAAGGTGACCAGAGGCCTGGGCCTGTTCTGTGAGGGCTTCTCTTGTGGCAATAAGCTAAGTACAGCAGAGAGGCTGAAGAGAAGAGCAGCTGTAGGTGAAGGGAGCTAAGCAAACATAGCTATTCCTGTAGACACGTTCTTAACCATTTTCCCTGTGGTAGTGCCATAGGAATGCTATAGCAGGTGTTTAGGTTCTAGGCAGCCAAACATCTTTAGAGGAGACTTCTGAAGGAGCTTTCCTCTAAGCTAATATTTCCAGTCTTTGTGGTCTCTAAATCATTCAGGGACTTGAGCTGTAGTAAAACGTCATTTAGAATTTGTCTGAACTCCCTGTTCCTCTGCAGGAGCTCAGTGCTGGGGGAGACAGAGCACTGGTGGAAAACAGCCTCCTGTCAGGTAAACACTAAGCTCATTACGTCCTGCAACCTCAAAGAGCTTGGCTTTGGGAGCAGCCCAGACTGGGAGACAGCCTGTCTGATACCTTCTCAGGGAGCAAGGCTTTGTAAGCCTCTCCATGGCTAAAGGCAAGGTTCTGTAGGAATCCTTTGTCTGGAGGTGTGCTAAGAAACCATGGCTTCAGTGTGCAGGTTGCAAGAGAATTAAGTGGAAATCCAGAAGAGGTGATGTTCAGAGAAGTAGTTTGGGTCAATCTGTAGTAAGGTAGGTGACACAGAATCATAGAATCAACTAGGCTGGAAAAGACCTCTAAGACCATCAAGGCCAACCGTGATCTCCTGAAGAACACCTTCCTCTTACACAACATGTGTGAAGGCTTTGTGGGGTTTTTGAGTGCCACTAATAACACGCCATTCCAAAACAGCATCCCTGAGAGTGTTCCCTCTCCTAGAAAATCAGGGAACAACATGCTGCTGGGTTTGGCACCTTGGATGTGGCTCCCATCTCTTTATACCTGAAGTACCTGCAGCAGAGCCTGGAACCAAAGGATGTGTTTGACCACAGAGCTGGGTATTACAACTTCACTTACAGTGTAAGAACCAGAAGCAAAACATACTGGTGGAATTACCCATCCAGTTCTGAAACAGGACACGCCAGATGTGTGCAGTACCACAAGGTACCACTTTGCTCTCTAATCCATGTGCCTTGTGTTGCCTTTTTGACTGTGCCAGCAGGGATTTATATCTGATTAAAGTGACCGTGCAACCACAGATTTAGGGACACAAATACAGCAGAACCTGCCTTTATTTCAGTGCTTTAAGAAACCTGTTGACAAACTGTTGTATTATTTAAATGCTCTGCAAGAAGACTGGGGAGTCCTGCTGGCTCAGCTGTGCTTTTACTGCTGTGCTATCAGCAAATACTGTTAGTATGTGCTTGTGTGGTTTTGTTTGTCCATTGGACACAGCCATGGCTGAACTCCTGTAAGAATCTCTGCCTTGAACAGCCTTGCTTGTGTCTTTTTACAGCAGCTTTTGAATATATTGTTACAAAACCACTCAGTCCAGGTTCTTTTGGGTAAACCATAAACCACTGCAAATATATGAGCAGCAGGTCAAAGGAGGGGATCCTGCCTCTCTGCTCTGCTCTCATGAGACCCCAGCTGAATAATGTATGCAGTTCTTGGTGTCCTCAGCATAAGAAGGATGTGGAGCTGTTGGAGCAGTGCAGAGAAGGCCACAAGGATGAGCAGGGGCTGGAGCAGCTCCTGTATGGAGACAGGCTGAGAACACTGGGGCTGTTGAGCCTGGAGAAGAGAAGCTGCGTGGAGACCTCAGAGCAGCTTCCAGTGTCTGAAGGGGGGTACAAGGATGCTGGAAAGGGACCTTCATCAGGGACTGAAGTGACAGGACAAGGGGTGATGGGTTCAAACTGGAACAGGGGAAGTTCAGGTTGGAGATAAGGCAGAAGCTCTTCCCTGTGAGGGTGCTGAGGTGCTGGCACAGGGTGCCCAGAGAAGCTGTGGCTGCCCCCTTCCTTGCCAGGGTCAAGGCCCAG